CATGGTCCTCAAGGCCTGGTGGGCCAGGACGTGCTCCAGTCTCTCCTTCTCCCCCTTCATCTGTTTCAGTGTGCTCTGATCAGATATGTCCCTCTCCGGGAGCTGCAGATTCAGTGCCATCCTTTGAAATAAATTCTTTTGGGTGAGGGGCAGGCATCCACTTAGTATTTGGTACTGGGGCCAGTCCCCCAGAGTGAGGAGTTTCCTTCCTGTTAACATTTATACTTTAGACCACCTCCTCTTAGCCTGCCTCATCCTACTCTTGTTCCTAGCACGGTATTCAGGGGAGCTTCTCTTTCTCAGCTCTGCCACATCCTTGCTTTTGACTATGAAGCAAGTTCATTGATTTTAGAAAGAAAGACAGAATGTCAATATATGAGTTGGAGATGAGCAACACTCCTATACGATGGACGAGATAGAAATTTCATTGGCCTCTCCTGCACATTTTGTTTTGTTTTTTCATTGTTCCATTCTAACAAGCTTATTTATTTGTGCTAAAAAGCAAAATTTCTTTTTATTCATCTACATATCCAAAAGTGCATCCATCACATGCACTGTGCTAGGCAAGGGGACCAAAGCACACACCTTGTCCACTTGGAGCTACATGTTAGTGTTTGAGGATAAATAAAGTGAAAAAGATTTTCACCTAAAGAGAAAATATCCCCTATGTAAGATGATGACCAATAAAAAACGCACAGCGAAGCAAGTTGAGCAGTGTGGGAGAGAGGCCGAGCGTCCCAGGTAAGGAAGGAGCCCACGGAAGGCCTTCCTGAGCAGGTGGCATTTGAGGGACTGATTGGGAGAAGATGAGGGAAAGGGCAACGTTGACATCTGAGGAAAGATCGTTTCAGGACAGGAGAAAAGCAAGAGAAAGCCTAGGACTTACTTGGTGAAAACAGCGGAAGCGGTGTGTCAGGAAGTGACAGAACACTAGAGTATGAAGTCAGAGAATGAACTGAGGCCAGTGTTTGTGTGTTGGTGCTTGCTTTGAATGGGAAACCACTCGAAGTGTGTGTGTGTGTGTGTGTGTGTGTGTGTGTGTGCTTGTGTGTGTGTTTTGAAGGCATGCGTTTGAAGTCAGAGGTAATATATCATTAATCTAGAGAGAGAGAGAAAATCACTGTAGCTGCTCTGTTGAGAAACTGACTTGGGTTAAGGGTGTAAATAAGAAAAACAAGAAGTTGAGAAAAAATGTAGAGTAGATGATATTGGGTCATATCAAGGTGGAATGAATAAAAGAGATGAGAAAGGTTAGATTTGCGGCGCACTGGTGGGTGGTGGTTAGTATTAGGCTGCTATCCACATGGCAGACTTTTCAAAACCACCTGCAGTTCCCCGGGAGAAAGACTGGACTTCCTACTCCCATAAAGAGTTAGTCTTGGAAACCCACAGGGGGTTGCTATCAGTCAGCACTGACCCAATGGCAGTGAGTTTGGTTTTATGTTTTAGAGCTAGAGCTGATATAATTTGCGATGAAGTTGACACAGATGATCAAGCAATGTTTACACCAAATCCTTCAGCCCATTTGTACAATGACATTGCTATTAACCAAGATGAGGAACACTACATAAGAAGCAGCTTCCAGAGCCCGGTTTTGATACACAGAATCTTAGATAGGTTCTAAGCAACGTTATGGAGTTGTTTAATGAAGACTTGATTAAATGGGTCTAGGGTTCAGGGGAGGAGAGATCTAGGGTGGAGATATTTGCTCTTTTTGTGCATCCTTTTTCCAACCTGAAAAAAAGTGGGCAATGAAATAAATGCAACTCATTGAACTGTTGTGTACTTGACTGTAGTCAAATCTCAATAGGCCAGCCAGAGACCCCGTCGTACAATTATTTACTCTCAATGTATCAATATAGAAAGAACTAATGAGTTTAATGTAAAGTAACAAGATTTGATTGCATAGTTTTAGCTTATCCACAGCTTTTAAAACTGTCTCCTTTTTTATCCAATTCATTTATTCAATGCTCTATTTTAGAATATCAGAACTCTAAGGATATTACTTAATTATGTGGTCATATAATTTCAGTTTAAATTAAATAGTAATCAGATTTTTAGCTGGCATAAGCAGAGACCATTTTGTCATTTTTAAAATTAGGCTTCTCTGAGGGAGAACAAAAATCAATGACAAACTAAGTTATTTTGAAAACAAGTACAATTATTCCACTCCCCACCCCCATTGGCTGTCTAAATCCAATGACTCAAATAGTCAATAAATAATTAATTTGCAATTATAATAACATGTACTGAAGAAAGTCAGTGTTGAATATAAAGAAAAGACCAAACCTCATGTTGAATCATTCTGCAATAAATATACTAATATGAGATTAGCTCTTCATTTAAAAAAAAGAAAGACATGCTACAAATGCAACTTTTACCCCCCAGCCAGAGATCCTACTCCCTGAATATTTAGTCAGTTGTATCTAGGGAGGCGACCAGGTACAAGAACTGTGAAGGCTGCTCCGAATTGGGAACTCCCATGGCAGATATTCAGGAAATAATTGTTACCATTTCAATGCAGGACAGGACTCTTTCTAAGTGAAAGTATAAAGCTTAAGAAAATCTTTGAAAGGAACAGCTTATCCTACCTGAAGGGAAACAGATCTTTGGTACATAAGAAATTTACATTAAAAAAAAAGAAATTTACATTTTTCCCTCTAAAACTTTACACATTGAATAATAGTAGGGAAACAAAACTCCTTTGCAAAAATACCATGAAAAAGTATCTATATTGAATACAATGTTATTGTTAGTGTTGCGTGCCATTAAGCCAATTTCAACCCTTGGTGACCTCACAAGACTGAATAAAGCTTCCCTATAGGTTCCTTAGGTGATCATTTGAATGGAACCAAATCACTAAGTCTTTCTCCCTTGGAGCCCCTGGTGGGTTAGAGCCCCTATACTTCCAGTTAGCACCCTAGTGTGTAACCATTGCACCACAAGGGAACCTCATTTTATATAATGTGCACTGTTAATTAAATAAATATATATAACATCATATTTATGAAGAAATAACAAAATCACCTCTACTCCATGGATTAATGAACAAATCTCTGTTAGCATGCAGGAAAAATTAGAAGAGAAAGGATCCAAATAATTTTATAAGATTGCATTAGAAGACAGTTTTCAGCCAGGTAATTCTCAGAACTAGTAATTTTCAATAAATACAGGTCAATGAAGGAAATATGATTTCACAATTGAAGGCATTCAAAATGTGACAGTATCAATACTGGAGAGCCAATAACAGGAAAGTCCAAAACTTAGCAGACTATTGAAGTTTAAATTTTTACAGATATGATATTTTATTTAAAGAGGCCTTTTGAAAAATTATCTCTTCCACTCCATCTCACATTTTCATGATGCATTGTCTACTCTAATGCCATGAAGCATTTTCAATCTGTACTCTGAAAATTGGTTATTACTTATTAAAATTAGTACATTGGAAGATTATAATATATTAGTTGTAACTCATTAGCTAACTCATGAAACGAACAGTGAGAATTGGTTGTCAGACAGAATGTTAATTGCATTTAATAAATGTTAGCTTAACCCTTTGACTGTTGCTCACCGTGCCACATACACGGAGAAAGGCAGTCATATGCTCCATATGATACGGCATATAGTTCTTAATTTCCCGAGGGCGACATTTCCTATGGAGATTGGCAGGAGAGCTTTTGTTCTTCCAAGGGTCTTTTATTAGCACAGCTGCTAGAATTTCCAGGCATCTTATTTTGTGTCTTGGCATTTCTATTTTGGTCAGGCGGGGGCGGGCAATGGATTAGATATGGTAAATCTGCCCATTGGCCTTTAAATCGGAACATGCACCTCCGGGTGCCATGGAAAACAATAACTTCACTCACGCGAGGCCTGGCTAAGACTGGTTTATCTGATGTCAGATGCTATGGTCAAAAGACACAGAGGATTCAGTGATGTGCCTTCTGGATAGATGTGGCTGTCTTTGACTTTCCCCGCATTTCTTTTGCATGGGTGATACCTGTATGAGGGCAAGCATTCTTCAGTATGCAATAAAACCTGTCTCTTCCATGAAATTTTAGTACATTCTAAACGTTATTCGAAATTTTTAGATCTTCCACCACCACCAGACCCCCCACCAGGTCAGGGTTTAAGGCAACAAATAGGCCCAACTCCGCATGCTGGTCACGTGGAAAACTCCACAGAGAGAAAAGGAAGCTCTCTGGAGAGACAACACGCATCCAACTTAGAAGACACAAAGAGCTCACTGGACTGTCCAGCTAGAACCTCTCTAGAGTGGCAGCGACAAACCCAGGACTGGATAAACTCCACCGAACGCCAAGAAGATATTCGGAAGGCCCCCCACAAACAAGGTGTTGGATCAGGTGTGTTCTGCCCAGTTCCAAGAAAGTATGGACATTTATCTTTTTTTTTTTCTACCAGGTGTTTTAGAAAAATGACAACTGGTTACAGGGAGGTTTCAGGCTCAGGCCATTAGTGGGGTTCCTTAGGTGAACATATTTAGGGTGTTTTGATCCTAAAAGAACACCAAGATTCATCTAAGTGTTCAAGAGACGATTCATCTATCTATCCATTGATGTATGCCATTTAATAATCATGTTAAGTAATTGTAAGACCACTAGGTTTCCTAGTCAGTGTCAGTTTAATTGCTGTTTTCCATGAGATTGTCCCATTTAGCTAAAGTAGCAAGTCACTGGAAAAAAACTGACTTCAAGTCAGCAGGTGAATAAATGGAAAGAACAGACACAATTTTAAGTGAATGCCCGTTTACACAGTCTTTGTGCCACAATAGGCTGAAAAGCAACTGTAGTTCCCAGCAGATTAATTGTAGTTGATTGTTAATAAACTCTTAGATGGGAAATGTTCTTGTTCATATAATCAAACTGCCTGGAAATACTACAAAGTAAATTTTATAGTTGATGGCCGATTGTTTTTATGGGGGCTGGGGTGGGAGTGGGGTGGACGGTGAGCCTGTTAAATACATCGATTTTTTGTTGTTTACTATCTCCTTGCTTTTCGGGAGTCATTGACTATTGATGGGGGAAAAACTAACAATAACCGAGTTTCTTTACATATTGACTTATTTATTTATTCAGGACCAATCTTTTCTAGATATGTATTCTACCCAGGCATTTTCAGTAATTAAATGTTGTCACAACCTGTTATTCGGTTTTTTAAATGTAGTTTTTTGTTTTTTATGTAAGGGCCCAAGGATGAATTGTAATACCCATGATCAGTTCCAATGAGACCTTTGATTGCAGGTTGATCCCTGCTGTGAGAAATTACGTCTTTTGTGGTCAGACAGATTATGTAGAGAAAGGATGCATTCTTAGGCCTTTTTAGTCATCCTATCTCATGCCCTCATCCTGGAAAGAGAGAAAAGTGGAGAGAGTGTACAAAAGGAAATCTCAAGAAACACCGAGAGAAAGGGGGAAAAAGTTCCAAATGAAGTAATTAAGTCGTCCGCATCATGAGTGATGGGTAGTGAGAGGGTTCAGAAAACAATTCTTTATCTTTTGGTTTTTAAAGAGCCATCACTACCATGGAGTTGCTTCTGGCTCGTGGGGCCCCTGGGGCGCAGCGCAGAACCGCCCCTGTTGTAACTAACTGTTCACGAGTGGGGAGTCTCACTTTTCTCCTGCTCAGCTGCTGGGGGTTTCCAACTGCTGACCTTGCGGCTAGCTGCCCAGTGTGTAACTACGATGGTACCAGGGCTCCTTTAAGGAGATAGAGAGTTTCTTAAATATGATCTTTCAGCAACAGAAATTTAGGACACTTTTTTAAGGTATTCAGATTATAGTCCTTTATCTAAATTGGTAGAGAAAATGTTGCTATCATTTAAACACAAGCCAAAACCAAGTGCCAATTTTAAAGGGAAAATTAAACTGGATTCTCATGGAATTCAGACAGTATGCTCAGATTTGCTTTTGCTAAGCGAACTGTGGTTCACTGTATGCAGTTCCCTTTTATAATCATGGAATTTAGATGTTATAAATAATATGTAACATTGTATATGTGTCCTCAAATCTCTTTTATAGACTACTGCTTTGATTCTATTGTAGGACATGTTGCTTACACATGGAAATCCTTTTCATAGTCGGGCCATGCTACACCTCTTATTTATCACTGTGAAAGGGTCCGCTGTGTTTCAGAATCGCGTCTGCATTTTGCCACAGGCGGCCATTCACCTCAGCCCTTATGTTTCTTTTCCAGAAGAGGCTTTGGTGCCCTACAGTAAGCCCAGTTTCCCATCTCCCGGTGGTCACAGCTCATCAGGAACAGCTTCCTCTAAAGGATCCACAGGACCCAGGAAAGCCGAGGTATTGAGGGGAGGCCACCAGCGCAATGCCAGCGACCTTCTTGACATAGGATATATGGGCCCAAATAGTCAAGGACAGTTTACAGGTGAATTATGTAAGTGCTTTAGGGCATGGCAAAAAACTAGCATGATCTGGAAAGAATATATTGTTCATAGCGGGACTGCCACACATAGTCTCAATTCAGAAAAGTAAAAAACCTGCTCCACGGGGAGAAAATAAATTGTTATAATTTTGAACAGATTTGATCATAATTCACACCATTTTTGTTCAATTTATACTGTTAAAACTGGTTCTACTTTAGGAAACCAGACTTAATACTTTTAAGATTTAAATTAAGTATAAGCCACATCATTATTTTATTTTCCCTTTTAACTGGGCAAATTGAAGAAAGGACAACATACTGTCCCTTTAGCAGTACCAAAGTACCTCCTGAGGGATTTCTCATTCCCAGTTTCTCCTTGTTCTTTATATAGCTGCTTTTGAATCTGGCCGTGAACTTGGAAACAAGATGGTCTTAAATTTTAAATTATTGGCAACATTTGTTTATAACAACATATCTTGGAAATATTTTTAAAACTCCTTGCAGAACAAGCATTTTAGTTAGTACAACAAAATCGTGTCTTCAAAATATCAAATGCTGGGTTCTGTGCAAAAAGTCACTATTCAAACAAAACCGTTGAATAACTTGTGTTCACTTTAGCAGAGATGTTATCAGTTCTACCTTTCCATGTTAGAGTTAAACTAACTGCTTTGTTGAATTCCACTTTAAAACATGGCTCAGGGAGCAGGAGCCCTGAGGCCCTTGTGGGTTACACACTGGCTTGCTGACCACCAGGTCACTGGGACAAACCCATCCATCAGTTGCCCCCCAAGACAAATGCAAAGTTATCTTCGCCCCTCAAGATGTGCCGTCTTAGAAATCCTGCTCTGTCTATTAGGTCCCTGTGGGTTGGAATCATGTCACTGGTCATGGGTTTGATTTTGGATTTTGGCTCAGCGAAAAGCCCGAGTCCTAATGTTCTCAACCACTTAGTGATGAGAGGACATGAGAACGTTCACACTGACTGCTAACATTTTTAAGTGTTTTCATCCCTGCCTCTCGTCCAGTAAAACGCCCTTCCCCATTCTCAGTAGAGCAAAATGTCTTACAATCACAAACTCACAGTGTGATCTGGTGATCTGATCTTTATGTTTTATCTGGTGGCCTCCTGTTTTATCCTCCTGTCAGGATGAAAACATGCCTCATTGACATGCAAACTTGCTTCTAACTGTGATTTTCTTTGCTCTTTTGATCGCTTCTCTGTAGAGTAATTGAGAGGAGACGTGCAATGCTGCTCCGAAGGACCATCAGGTCTGCACTCCTGGAAGTGATGCCACGAAACAGTGCAATGAACAATTTCCTTATTTATGTACTATTGAAGAACTGTAAATGCAATGTAAAGACACACAGCCACACATATCCCACAGATACTTTTACTTGTGTTCTTCTCTTAAGTACACCACCCACCTTAACTCTTTCTTGTCAGGAGCATATAAAAAAGAAAGAAAGAAAAAAATCTCCCTCCATGAAGAAAAAAAAAAAAGGATTTTTCTCTGTATATAATTTCTTTTGTGCATTGCTATGCAAGCTCACTCTTTTTAGCTCTGTTCATATTATTGTCTGTTCTTACTGGTCTGTTGTACTATATGTGAATTAATAGGCTGTGGTGCCATATATTAACTTTTAATTGTGTCACTTTTAAGTTTAAATTTTGCACTGCAATTTTATTTGGTGATAAGCACAAATCTCTACTCCTCGTGACATGAAGAAAAAGCCTGAATGTGGAAGGGAGAGTCTGTACTGTTAGCTGGGCTGGGTGATGCTGGATGGAACCAGTCTTGTTCGGTGGCTTTCAGTTGGGCTGTAGAAATAGGAAGAGGCAAGGGGACAATGGCATTGGCCAAAGTCCATGTTGAACATCACAGGCGAGTGAAGAAGAAAGCCGAAAGATAGCTTTTACGATCGAGAAAGTAGGGGTCAAAAGAAGGAAGTTTAAATCTCCAGAATGAATTTACATTAAACTACACAGTTAGTTCAGATGTACTAAACCTGATTTAAAAAAGGAAAAACAAAGGAAAGGAAAGAACACCTTTAACTGTCATTATAATTGACCCACTTGAGAATTAAAATAAGCAAAAGGAATTAAGGTGTTTCACAAAAGCTGCATTTATATTACAATTGTTTTTCGGTTTTTTTTGGTTCTAAGGAATTTTGTGAATGATTGTAATGACTCGCTACAACTCATGAAGTCTGAATTCAGTATGAAGTTCTCCAAGGAGACACACAAAATGAACTCTAGCAGATCTAAGAAATGGTTGACGAGGCAGTTTGTCATTAGGACATAGTCAGGCTGCTTCCCAATGCAAACCCGATTGCAAAACCACGTTTCATCTTGCTAATACATGTACAGTACACACTAGAGGATAGAGCTGCATCCCTTAACAATCTCGACTTTTTAAAGATAATGCAGTCTATGTACAATTTTGTGTTTTATTCAATTCAGAAGTTGATGCCACCAAATGTATAACCAAATTGTAAACGCTTGAAAAGCAATGCTCAAAGTATGTTCAGTTCACACTAAGTAGACTTACTGGAATACATATTTTATGGTACATTCTCTGAATCGGGCTACCAACTAAAATCCCTTTGACCCATTTTGAATGAGTAAATTGAAAAGAAAAACTAAAAAGGAAAAAAAATGCATGTTTATACACTTTTTAAATAAAACCAAACCTTGTAAGTGGACATTAAAATCAGTGTCCTGCCTCATTTGTTTTCCACATCTTTGAGAGCCAGCATGTCCTGAGCATTGATCATGTATGGTCAGAAGAAATATGATTTTTAAACGTATGTCGGCTACAGTACATGTATAATGAATCAGTCAAGTAGAAGAAAGCATTCCTGAATCCTTACTTGTGACGTTTTCATGTGCTGCCTACCCTATTTACAATCTGGCCCTTGTCTAGCTTCCCTGCCCTACGTGGGGTAGAGCAGTTGGTACTTTGAAAAGTAGCCCGTGTCATGATTCACATCAGCTCTAACATACACGACCCATGACAGTTCCCACTGGCAAAGGTATGCCATAGCTGTATGTGCTGACAAAGAAGCAGGCAACGTGCTTGACGGGCCCCCACCACTTTTTGCCACGGAGTTCATTTCTCCAAGAAAGAGAGAAAGATTTCGGAGACACATTTCGTCAACGCGTGATCAACTTTCTACCATGGGCGTCTGCGTGTCACTGCAGACTGACTGCTCTAGGACAAGGACATTCAGGAAGGGGATGCATCTCAGCACACACACGTCCTCAGAGCAGTAGGTGCTGAGCGATTTGCGTAGGCATTTCTCTATTTCACTGATTTCTATTAAAAACCAACCTGATCGCTCAGCAGTACCGTCCATGTGTGTTTCCCTTTATGCCCCTCTACAACCCAGATAAGTCTAAAACATACGTGCCAGTTCATCAGACACATTATACGTAGCCTTTGGCCCCTTGTAAGGTGTACGTGTAGATATCTGGATGCAGGTAACTTGTGAGATCATGTGGGGCAAAATATAACTTCCTGATTGTCTTTAGTACATAGAAATGAACTCTTACAGTTATCATATGTCAATACAGACTGTAAGGTTATTTGAAAATGGTCTTTTGGACCTGGTTCATGCTCCCTGTTAAATCTATTTCTACATAAATTGTTTGGTCAAATCTTGAACCTCAAATATCTGTATATAAACATTTGGTATGAGAAAGTACAATGGCTATCCAAGTGAATTCAACAAACATGATAAAAAATAAAAAATAAGTCCTAGACTTCACGGGGTGTGCAGAAATCTGCTAATCAGTATAAATCAACATGAACTGAATACCACCATGTTTAAATTTTGTAGCAGATTAAATATATGCAGTTAGAAAGTCACTGTAGCTCACCCTTCTTCAGGTCTATCTAGGCCTGCATGAGCCTCCGCAAAGAATTCTGGGTGGGATAGAATACCATCTTATCTTGCACGGACTGCCCATGCCGCTGTGCTGTCACTCCGAGCACCTGTGCGGCCCTGTTTGTAAAGTGGAAAGGCTCTGTTCAGGAAATAAGAGTCGCAGTGCTCCAGCTCAGGTATGCCACAGTGTATGCAGGTTGAATCACCCTACCTCGTCTCCACATCGTCTCCACATCATTTGAGAGCAAGGTGGGATCATATGGGAGAATCTAGGAAAAAGAAGGCCGACAGTGAAGTCTCACATAACCAAAAAGAAGTAAAAAACTTTTTTTCAATTTTATTGGATTTGGGTGACAAAATAGATTTGATTTGATCGTGTTTTGTGTCCAAGTTTGATTTAAAGTATTTAAAGTATTGAGTATTTGAAGACGACTCTCAGTTGAAAGTCTGTATATGCTTTGGTGGAACACTGAATTTCTATTAAATAAAATATGGTGATTATCCATTGGCAACACAATTCTAACAATTATAATGAACTCAACTGTGGTTTATTTCCCCCCCTGGAAGCTGATTGTGTGTCAGTATTAAATATATGCAGAACCAAGACTTTCACTTATTTGCTCATCTGCTTCTGTATATTGTACTCATAGAATTACATGACAGGGAACTCGTGTAAAACAACATATTTCTCTGCATTATCTTAGAGGTGAAATTACTTCCATGTTCTTTCTCTATAATGTGTACTTCAAATGAAATCATTCTCCACCCCTCAAAAAATGAAGTTCACTTTAATGATATTTTTAATCTCATATTTTTCAAAATCATTTATTGTGACTTTGAAGTGTTTCAAGATAAGGGATTTTGTGGCCGTGGTAGAATTTTTTATACTTTGTTTTATAGGTAGATATTTTTGTTGTTTTCTTTTGGGGGGGAGTTTGTTATATAACTAAACAATATCCAAAATTTAATGTGATTCATTTGATGTTGGATCAGCAAAGAAACTGGCATAAAATTGGTTAATAGTAATGTCAAAGATTGTGTATTGTGTACTCACTGGGAAAAATAAAATATATACACATTTCAAATTTGTAAAAAAAACCGTTTATGTAACACATAGTTGCTCATAAACAAGATAATAATAGGTCATTCTGTCACTTGTAGAACTCTACAACCATATTTTCTGAGTACATGCATAAGCTCATTATCTCATTCAGTCATGGATTGCACAGTAATAAAGAGAAATTGTGATTAAAAACACTGATAAAAGATGTAAGAATATTTGAGTGATAGATCCCATCCTTCTTCCTGCACCACTTCCCATATGTGTTACCTTGTCTACATCAGAAAGACCTTTAAATAACCATAACCCAAATTTATTACCCACAAAATCACCTAATAACTTATTTTTTAAAGTACAAGTAATTATGAGAATTAGAAGTAGGTATTTCTTGAAGCAAATTACATTGTATTATTGTACTCCATAAATATTTCATTCTTTTTTCACTGTCAAATACAATTACACAATCAGAGCCCTCTAAAATTAAAAACAAGCAAAACTTTTGTTTTAAAAAAATAACGATCAGGATAAAAAGGAAATGGTTTAATTCTGAAATATTCATTTAAAAACATGTGAGATAATACATTCAGAGTGCCATTTAATTTAGATTAATAATATGAGAATTAAAATCGTACTCTAGTAATTACAAATAATATAATATCAATAGATTATACATTTGTCACTACTTAATACAAATAATCAAAATAAAACAGACTGATTACCAGTATGATGAATTATCAGTTCAATTACAAAGTAGCCATTGCTATATAAAATTTGAGGATGGAAACACATGGCTAAAATGCAAAGTTAATGGAAAGGTTAATTCAAATTATCTACTATGTTCTCCTAACTATTGTACATTAGCTAGGAAAATGATGTTACTATTTGCAAGAAAGCATTTAAACAAGGAAGGATATCTAATGCCCTCGATTGTTGAGAATGAATTTTATCCCTTCAAAAGCAGAGATCAAAGGAATTCATGCCAAATCTAATTTTATAGCAGTGATATACATGGAAAAATACTGCAATCACAAAAACTGCCTTGAAAGAATTTTAGCAATGAAAACAAAATACTCAAATGGAGCTGCTAGCTAGAAAGGTAGGGCAATAAACTGTCCCCAGAAGGCTTCAGGGACTCCTTTGCCTTCATGGATTAGTGCAGGTTCGATTTTGAATTATAGGACCAGAGAGTGTTGCAAAGCTGTGAATGATGTGAGACAGATGTTCAGGCTGTGTGTTTAAGTTACAAGGAAGCACCAAGGTGGGGCACCCCTGTATCTTCTGCTCAGGATAATTTCACACTGTATTGGTGTTGAGTGGCAGACCTCCTTAAATACTCAACTACTAGCTGAAGATTCCTAACACCGCAGGGTTGCTTTCTGCTTCTTGTAGGTCACAGCTTTGAAATCTCTATCCTAAAACAAACTCACTGCCATCAAGTCCATGAGGACTCAGGGGGACCTTATAAGACCAGGTCGAACTGCTCCTGTGGGTTTATGAAGCGGGAAGTCTGTCTTTCTCCCCGCAAGTTTCAGGTGATTTCAAACAGCTGACCTTGAGGGTAGCAGCCTAACCCATCACTATTACACCACCAGGGCTCCTTAAAATTCCTATGGAGCAGTTCTATTCTGAAAACCTGTGGTCCTTATAAATTAGAATGGACTTGTACTAAAAAGATAGCAGTTAAATTACAAGAAAACAAACCAACCTGGGTAATTCATCAAGGAAAGTTACCTTTGCAATTCAACTACAATCACTTGAGCCCCATCAACTCAGGCAATGTCCCCGTCAACTCACTGCCTTTGAGTAGATTAGCTGTCTCATAGACACTACAGAATGAAGTAGGTAGTGGGTTTCATAGAGTGTAAATCTTGATTGTTGTTGTTTGGAGCCATCAAATGGGCTCAGACCCATAGCAACCGTATGCACAACAGAACAAAGCACTCTCAGGTCCTGTGCCCTCTTCACAATTGTTCCTATGCCTAGCCCATTGGTGCAGCCATGGAATCAACCCTTCTCCTCAAGGGCTTTCCTCTTTTGGGCCACCCCTCCACTTTACAAACCATGATGTCCTTCTCCAGGGACTGGTCTCTCTTGACAACATGTCCAATGTGAGCAAAAGTCTTGCCATCCTTATCCCTATGGAGCCTAACAGTCCATGGCATTTTATTCTTTTTTTTTTTAATAGTTTTATTAGGGGCTCATACAACTCTTATCACAATACATACATATACCAATTGTATAAAGCACATTTGTACATTCATTGCCCTCACCATAGTCAAAACATTTCCTTTCCATTAGGTCCTCATTTTTCCCCTCCCTCCCAGCTCCCCTCTCCCTCATGAGCCCTTGATAATTTATAAATTATTATTTTGTCATATCTTGCCCTGT